TATATATATATATATATATATATATATATATAAATATAAATTAAATATGTGTGTGCGCTGTGGTTTCAGATGGATAGATGACAGAAAAGGTAGAGTGCCTTGCTTTTTTTAGGCTAGTGTGAGATATGGATAATGTGTGAGTACCTTTAGAGTCATATCAGGCATCTGTTTTAAACAAGACAACAAACAAATATGCCACATTTTTTGTTTTTGTACATATAGATCCTCGGTTCTCTTCCTGCTATTTTTAGATTGATGGCCCCAATCTGTGCTATGGATCCTTCAGAGCTGTAGAGGATGTGATTGATTGCTCTGCTCTCTAATTGGCTGAACCCTCATCTCCTATACGTATTACCCTACAATGATGAGCAGGGGTCAGAGAAACCTTATCACACATTTTAATTGTACATTTTTGCTTGGGAATACTTGAAAAGAAGTGCTTGACTTTCATGAACTTCAATATAATGTCTAAAATTTATCATCAAAATAAACACGAAGTGTTGCATGTTGTTAAACTTTATTAAGCCAGTATTGTGGTTTTTGGCACTGGTCATTGTCGATGTTGTGTGGGCGTGTGTGGAGGACTATATTGGAATAATAGTGAGGTCTATTGCCATTGACAGTAACCTACATGATATTACTTCACTTTAATGTCTTGCATCTTTTTTGTGGGTCTATCACACGTTAAGCATGTCTCAGCCTGCAGGCCCAACGAGTGGAAATTTACTTTCTTTTTATAGCTGGAAGCTTCCTTGATTTATAGCTGGCATATGAGTGGCTCAGTGGGCGAAGTCTCTGTGCCCATGATCAGAAGAAACGCCCCCCCCCCCAAGCTATGGAGAGCAAGATGGGGCAGGCGAAGATAAGCATTCCAGTATACCTGTACTCGTACTTGTGCAAATGACAAATAAATAAAACATTTTTGTTAGTTTTGTTTTCCCCAGTAGTATTTATGGTAATGTTAGCGTATTAATTATTAATAATCCATATTAATTGTGCTGTAAATAAATATTCAAAAAAATTAAATATCTGCTTTTCAATTACTGATTAATATCCAAAATCCATGTGCAGTTCATATTCTGATCATGGCACATATAAGACATGAGCAAGTCCCCCCCCCACCACTGCTCGAGGGCACCCAATAAGCTCTGAGGTGTGGGCACGCTTCCCAAGCGGCGGTGGCCTGAATGCTGTGCGAAAAACTGAATATTTGAGAAAAAATCCGCCAAATATACAAATATTAAAATATTCAATAGATGCGGTTTTTTAATTGTCCTTGAAGCTCCCTCAGCTACAGTTATCTTTAACTTGTTAATCAGCCTGAACTGGGAATATATGCTGGTTTCTCCAGTCTCCAGTCTCCAGTCTGGTTTCTCCAGTCAATGTGTTGCATGTTGTTGTGTTTGAACTCGCTTATGTCATGCAGTGACTCAGTACTGCCTTGTTGTTACTGATTTTTTTTTTTCCTTCCTCTAGAGAGAACATGGCAGGAAACAGCCTGGTGTTACCCATAGTCCTCTGGGGCCGCCATGCCCCCACCCACTGCATATCCAGCCTCCTGGTGATGGATGATCTGAGCACAATTATCACTGGGTGTCACGATGGGCAGATTTGCCTGTGGGATATGACATCTGACCTAGAGGTTAGTGTGAATGTGCACAAGCCTATAGATGTTGAAATCTGTTTACACTGTAAAATAAACAGATGGTGCTGGCATATATGAAATGTTTGCCATGTTAAGAGCATTGAAATGTCTGAATTGTTTTGTTGTAAAGTTTATTAAATGAGTTATTGTGTCCAGTTCCATTATGCTGGTTTGCTAAATAAATGTATCAGGCATCTTTTCTTAGCCCACAATGCTGATGGTTTCCTCTGGATCTTGCTGTGTCCTCTCCTAAGATAAATCCCCGGGCCCTGCTCTTTGGCCACACTGCTTCCATCACGTGTTTGTCCAAGGCCAGCGCAGGGAACGAGAAGCAGTACATCGTAAGTGCATCAGAGAGCGGGTGAGTACCAAGCGAGAAAGTTTAATCAGGCTTCCTCTGACGTCCACAAAGCCGCTTGCGTTAGTCGAATATGGTGAATGATGACATGGGACAGAGTTCTGCAGTCTGTAACGTTGTGAGGAATCCCCGGGCATTTGGGCAGCCGAAGCTTATTATTTTATTTGTTATCTAAATTTCTTGATGTTTGCAGTATTGACTACTAGTGTCTAATTCATGTAATTGCATTGCTGGTTATTTTCTTTTACGTTATTTACGTCAAAACAAACTATACTGGATTTTGATATGTTCCTTTTTATTTATGTAAAAAATTTATGTTCAGTCACTAATTGATCCTGTTGCTTTTTTGTCTGCATGGTTTAATTGGTTGTGTCTGGCCTGCGTTATTCTCTGTGGGTTAGTGCATTGTACAGATATTGGATGATCAGAGGTGAATGTAATGCTGTGACTGTCCTCTGTGTCCAGGGAGATGTGTTTATGGGATGTCTGTGATGGACGATGCATTGAGTATACTAAGCTGGCGTGTGCCCACACAGGCATACAGGTGAGCATGTCACTAACCCGGCCCGGCTGCTTGCTCAGAAGTGTGTACTCTTTCACTGCGTGTTCACAAGTACGTAAATCACTTTTGGCCAGTTTTACCAGTTTACCATCGGAACGCAGCGCGAGGGGCGGCTTCTGTGCCACGGCCATTACCCAGAAATCCTCGTGATGGATGCCACCAGCCTGGAGGTGCTGTACACTCTGGTGTCCAAGATCTCCCCCGACTGGATCAGCTCCATGAGCATTATCCGCTCGCACCGCACCCAAGGTCTGCAGCGGGGGGGCTTCCTGGGACTGCAGGGCTGGGAGTCAGCCTCTGACTTCACAGATACTTTGAAAATGCTCCTGAGATCGTCCTGTCAGGAGAATGAATGGTGCCCAAGAGAAATCACAGAAAAATGACCGCCCTTCATTTCCTTCACTGTTTGCTCTCCAGAGATCTACCTTTTAAATTAAAGCATCTACCAGAATGTGTTTGCAGTTAATCATTTTACTGCATGTATACCAGAGCTATTTAGGTTAAGTGCCAGGATACTGCTTGGGGTTCTATAGTATTAAGCCATTTGTTCTACACCTCAGCTTTTTCATCAGTGTGTTTTTCACTTTCTTTAACTTCTCAGAGGACACCGTAGTTGCAGTGTCAGTCACTGGGATTTTAAAAGTGTGGATTATCACTGCTGATGTCAGCAAGATGCAGGTATGGCATCCGCATGGAATCGCACTTGATTAGCAGAGGCGTCTTAATTGATTTGCATAGATATTGTGCGTCTCCACAGAGGCAAAGCAAATACTTTATTAAAAAGCAGAGTAATTTTGTCATTTTGACTGTGTCCAGTTTCATAAACTCTATGCTTCGGCTGTATATGAAAAACCGATCACCTGTCTTGTGAAATGAACAAATAGCAAAATATAATTTTTACTGGTTAAGGCTAGCCATTTGTGCTACTTTGAGCTAGTTGAGTTTTTGCTGGCTTTAGTTGGACAGCAAAGTGATATGTAGATTGAACTTGCTGTTGGGACATTTTTGTTGTGTTCCAGGACACAGATCCGGTCTTCGAGGAGGAGTCCAAGCCCATTTACTGCCAGGGCTGCCACAGCGTCTCCTTCTGCACTTTCACTCAGCTTTCCCTGCTGGTTGTTTGCTCCAAGTACTGGAGGGTGAGCTTGAGACCGCAGAGTCCCTGAACAGGCACAGTGTGTCGCTAGGGCTGTGAGATATTGCATTGTGGTTACTAGGGCTTTAGATGACGGGCATAAATATTTGTCTGGAAGCCGGCTATCCAGTACTATACAGACGTTTACTTATGCCCGCAGTTTGGTGAGCAGGTTAGTAGTATGCCTAAGATATTAAGGAGAGGCGAATTGTGATGTCCAAAAGTTAGTAATTTGTGTAAATTCGGCGTATCCTTCTGTTTATGCCGGTCATCTTGCGCCCTGGTGATTATTGCCACACGGCCTATAACCATCATTATAACCTAGTGTGAAATCCTGCAGCCCGTGATGTTGGGCTTCTGAGAAATGTTCTCTCTAAATGCTTTTATGGAATGGGGGGGGCGGGGGTGGCAAACACTTTGAGCGTCGTTAGGTTTTTTGTTTTTGAATTATTTTTTTTTTGCAAAAGTAGGATCTTATCATTTTGTTGTGGCATTGTGCCTGTTGTACATTTTTAAAAATATAAGCATAATGTGCAAAGGGTTTATTATAATTTTTCAGCTTTATTTATAGTCTGTAACTTGGTATATACAGGGAAGGACAGCTGACCTTTCGGTCTGTGGTATCAGGTTGTATATCTCCCATTGTTTGTGTTTTTCTCTTGTCCCCTCCCCCCTCCACCCAGGTGTTTGATGCTGGTGACTACTCCCTACTCTGCTCTGTGTCCAGTGAAAATGATCAGGCCTGGACCGGGGGGGATTTCATTGCCGCTGACAAAGTCATCATCTGGACTGAAGATGGATGCAGCTACATCTACCAACTTCCAGCCAGGTGAAATATTCAGACAAACTCAAAGCTGCGTGCTGTCCGTGCACTGGCCTATACACCCACAATAGTACATAAATCACTGGCCTTTACACACACGACAGTACGTAAATCACTGGCCTTTACACACACGACATTACGTAAATCACTGGCCTTTACACACACGACAGTACATAAATCGCCCACGACAGTACGTAAGTCACTCACGACAGTACGTAAGTCACTCACGACAGTACGTAAATCACTGGCCTTTACACCCATGACAGTACGTAAATCACTGGCCTTTACGGCCACGATAGTACGTAAATCACTGGCCTTTACACCCATGACAGTACGTAAATCGCCCACCACAGTACGTAAATCTCCCACGACAGTACGTAAATCACTGGCCTTTACACCCATGACAGTACGTAGATCATTGTTACAGGCTAGAAAAACTCCGGCAGTACGCGGTAAAGAGGGAGAGTTATTGGATTGTGTTCTTTTTCTACTCGTCACTTTATACAGCTGTTATGTGTGAATGTTATCTGGGTTAGGACTCTGAGCTCTGAACGTCTGAGATCAGAAGGTCTCCGGTTCAAATCTTGTGCCTGACCAAGTGATGCCAACATTAGGCTCCTGTGCAAGGCCCTCGACTTCATTTTCTCCTCCACACTCTTTGATCGTCACTTTTATGTTACTGTAGACAAAAGTGTCTACTACATAAATAAATGTAAATGTATTTACCTGGGTCATGTGCTTCTGCAACAGTGCTGACCAATCGAGTACTTGAGGATCACCCTATTTTTGTTTTAGAGTTAGGATTTCCAGTTTTTGGGTTTTGTTAATTCCAATGGTACGACGTACGTCCAAAATATTATCGTACAGAGATTAAGATCATTGTGGTGGTGAGATTTAAGTTAAATATTAAGCAGAGTATCCCGTATGACTCACCCTGTTTGTTCCTCAGCTGCCTCCCGGCCAGCAAGCATTTCCGGAGCGATGTCGGGAAGACTGCTGAGAGCACCATCCCCCCAGTGGTGTACAGCATAGCCGACCGTGCGGACAAACAGGTCACTCTGCCTGCCCTTGTGCTGTGTCACTCTGTGCTCTTTTACATGACAGACACGTGCTACAGCATACAGCATAGCCGGCCGTGCGGACAAACGGGTCACGCTGCCCTCGTGGCTCAATTTCCTTATAGACATTATAAAAGATCTTCTAAGGCTTTATTATTTAGATTGCCACATTCTGGTATGCTTCACAGACGATTCTGTCGTCAGGTACAGAGAAAACTGGTATAGCAAGATATTTGCAGGCAAGTTGTGCTAGCTCAGGGAAGCTGGTTTGGTTTCCATTCCAGCGGGTCAATGGGTTGGCATCCTCTGCTAAACATGTTTGACTGAGGTATGCAGTAACATCATGTGATGCTTTGGTGACAGATGAGGAACTAGTTTGACTTTCGATGTAAAAAACTTCAAGACTTTACCATGGTACACAGAATGGCAGTTAAGTTATTTATTCTATGGGTGACACTTCAAATGTTGCGTTCTTTCATTCTGAATAACATGACATTTTTATGAAAATGACATGCTGTGTATGTTAACATGTTTGTAATTAACACACTTAATTATGGGGGCTGTGTGTGGCTCAATGTGGCTAAGCCTCTGTCCCTGTGATCAGAAGGTTGCCGGTTCAAGCCCAGCCGCAGCACATCTGTGGGTCCTTGACTAAGACCCTTAACCCCCAGCTCGCTGGGCACTGCAACAGGTGGCTGCCCTTCAGGCCAGCTTGCTGTCACCTACAGAGAACAAATTTTGGGGGCATAAAGAGGATTTCCCCATGGGGATCAATGAAGGGATCTATTATTATTATTATTATTATTATTATTATTATTATTATTATTATTATTATTGAAATATTAAGCGGTATTGATAAAAGCTGCACCTACACTATGTATATGAATGTTTGAATTCAATTCCATATTAATTCTACATTTAATTCATTCATATTCAATTCAAATTCACAAAACTGAATTGGAATTTCAGGGCCATTCTCAATTCAGTTCTGAATGGTGCCCGACCGTGGTGTGTGTTTTGTTCTGCTGATTCTATATACTTCTGGATCTTTTGGACTATGGCGTTAGATGCTGGACTGCGTCCCGTTGTCTGTGAGTCTGTACTTCGTCCCGCTGTCTGTGAGCCTGTACTGCGTCCCGCTCTCTGAGAGCCTGTACTGCGTCCCGCTCTCTGAGAGCCTGTACTGCGTCCCGCTCTCTGA